TACTGGGATTACAAGCCTGCACCACTGTGCTCAGCGATGGGTATGTTTTTCATAATAAATTTTTACCTTTTCCCTCAAATAACATTCATTGATTAGTTCTTTCATTTTTAATTGCTTGTATATTGCCATTAAAACACTTCTGTCTTTTTAACTAATACTATATATATGAATAGTTGATATTTTAAGATATACGACTTTAACAAACAGATATCAAAAGGAATATCAAGAAAATAAAAACTTTAATGTGAACAAAGTAAGTGACTTTAGAGAAATTTATAGATATAACACTTTAAAAATTTGTTGTGTGTTTGCTGTAGAGAGAATATGTGGTTTAAGTTTTTGCCACTTTCATAAATACATTGATTAAATTAGCTGTGTGGTATGGTAGGAAGCTATTTTGAATAGTCTTATATAGTGTTGCAAATATAGTTATTTTTTTAGTCTATTAAACTTTGAAGGGAAGAACTCGTGTTTTTAGTTCATGGGAGAATGAATTATTTTAGATTAGAAAAGAAAATTTATTCTGTAGTCAGTACAATTCAGTACAATGGTTTTTGTACTAATGGCATCATCATAGCACTAAAGAAGATACTTTCCAATAGAAAGCTGATATTTGATGAGTCAAGAATAGATTTATTGGGGCTGGAGTTATGGCTCAGCAGTAGAGCGCTCGGCTTGCACATGCAAGGCCCTGGGTTCGATCCTCAGTCCCACATATAAATAAATAAAACTAAGTTAAAAAAAAGAATAGATTTATTGTAAAAAAAATATTAGTGTCCTCAAATACTCCTCTTTTTGGCCTTTTCCATACTCTTCCTTCCATGTTGTTTCCAGGTTATTCATGTGGTTTAACCTCACTGTTTCATGTCTCTGTTGAAATGTCACCATTTTAGGGCCCTACCTGACAGTTTTACCTAAAGCAACCCTCCTGTTGAGTCATTCACATTCTTCTAATTCCTCTTTCTCCCTAATATATACATCCACTTTACACGTTACATATCTGTCTGTCTTCTGTTCGCCCTGCCCTCTAGAGCATAACCTTCATGGGAAAGGGAGGGAGTTTGTGGCTACACTTGTAGAATATGAACAGAAGGCTCCCAGAAAATAGTTTTTGAGTGAATGCATGAATGGGATTTCCTTTAAATCTGTTAAATTTAAGATTTTAACTATTATCTTTATTAATAGCTTTCTAATTTTACAGTTATCTTGACCACTAAATTAGTGTGAATGTTAATCTTTTCTTTCATTGCTAAATTTATCCTGATATTAAGAGTACTGTCTTTATGAATGGAAGGGCAATGTCATATGCAGGGACAATTAGACAGAATGGATCCAAAGATCACATTGGTTTTGGAATATTTTTGAAGA